TATTATCTCTTGTTCTAAGTGAGAGAATGAAGAACATCACACCCCTTATCCAAAGGCCTGGAAAACCCACAGGCCCTTCACTGCAGCCCCCCAGCCTCATCCCATCTCTTCTTCCCATCAGACCCAGCCTCCCCTGCAGCCCCCAGACCTCATCCCATCTCCTGTTGCCCCATGCCGACAGCCACCCTCCCTGCCGCCCCTAGCCTCACTCCCATCGTCCTGTTCCCCATCAGACAGCACCCTCCCCCTCCCGCAGCCCCCGCCTCATCCCCATCTCCTCTCCCACTCAGACAGCCCCCTCCCTGCCGCCCCGCCTCATCCCACTCTCTTCCCCTCTTCAGACCGGCCCTCCTCCTCTACGCCCCAGCTCATCCATCTCTCTTCCGCATCAGACCACCCGCTCCCTGCACGCCCACACCTCATCCACGTCCTCCGTTCCCATCAGCACCACGCCCCTCCCCTACCCCTCGATACTCTTGTCTTGGGCTCTTTCTCTAAGCGACCCTCCCGCCTTGAAAGTCTCCCTCTCTCACATATCCATACCCATTTCCTTCAATACCCAGCTCCCAACCCACCTCTTCCAGGAAAATCTTTCCTCTGAAAAAGGGGGTGGGCTCAAAGCCAGATCACCTCTTTCCCCAACTGAATTACCTATTGTGACCTCCACAACCCCATGCCAAACTAAGCACAGTGCCAGGCAGATCTAGGAGAATAGTAACAATGACAATGACGATCATTCATAATATTGAATAATAAAAATAGCAAACATTTGAAGCATTTACTATGTGCTAGGTACTGTGCTAAGCACTTTACATATTTTAATTCCTCTGTCGAATGCCGGCTAGCCATGTGGGATTAAACACCTGCCTCTCTGCCTCCAAACCCCAGCACAAGCATCACCTCCCTGGTAGAGTCTTCCCCATTGGTCTCAGGCAGAATTAATATTCCTGCCTCCACACCCACAGTGCCTGGTCTATTGTTGACCTAATTTCACCAGCTCTTCATTATTTATCAAAGTGGCTGCTTCCCATTCCAGCCTGTGAACATCTTGAGGGCCAGGACCCTGTTATATTTATCTTTATTAGCTTCAGTCTCCAACAGTGACTGGTACCTAGTTGCTCCTCATTAAATGTTTGTTGAATGAATGCACAGATGAATGGAGTAATTAACACAATATCCCCCGATGTTCATGGGATTTTAAAGAGGCCACTTTCCTAGCCTCATACTTCACAAACATTCCAGACCAGTGCTACTCCAAGCATGATCTACAGATCGGCACCTGTCTGCAAACTGTGTGTTGCCAATTTATGACCAGGTAAGTGCAGAAATTGAGAATAAGCATTTAGCAATTTTTTTTTTTTTTTTTTTGGAGAGGGAATTTTGCTCTTATCGCCCAGGCTGGTGTGCAATGGCGTGATCTCAGCTCACTGCAACCTGCGCCTCCTACAGGTTCAGGCAATTCTCCTGCCTCAGCCTCCTGAGTAGCTGGGATTACAGGCATGCGCCACCACGCCTGGCTAATTTTGTATTTTTCATAGAGACGAGGTTTCTCCATGTTGGTCAGGCTGGTCTTGAACTCCCAACCTCAGGTGATCAGCCCTCCCGGACCTCCCAAAGTGCTGGGATTATAGGCATGAGCCATGGCACCGGCCCATGGCTCATATTTAATCTCCACAACTATTGTTATCATCCTTTTTTTCAGGGGGAACTGAGGCTTATTGAAGTTCAGCAACTCCCCAAGGTCCTAGAGGGCAGTGGTAGGGTGGAGGTGGTGACCCAAGTAGTTGGATCCACAGCTCATGCCTCAGCCACATCACTGGCAGAGTGTCAAGGGACTCAACAGGAACATTCATGCTAACTTGGCAGGTTCTGGAAAGCTCTATGCAGGAAGTGATGTTTGTTCTGAGCCTTGAAGAAGGCATAATGGGGAGGGGCATTCCAGGGCAGAGGCACACAGGAGACAACGGCGTGAGGGCAGTCTGGTGAGGCTGGGCTGGGTGTGGTGGCTGGTCTTGAACTCCTGACTTCAGGTGATCCACCCGCCTCGGCCTCCCAAAGGCTGGGATTACAGATGTGAACTACTGCTCCTGGCTACATTTTGACATTTTTAAGCCATTAGAATAGCTTTATGTCCATTTGATGTTTATTTTCACATGGCTTTCATTCTCGGTCTTTTTTTTAAATTGCTTTCTTCTTCCTTGTTCCTTTGTTTCCTTCCTCCTTCCTTCCTCTCTTTCTCTCTTTCTTCCTCTTTTTTTTTTCTTTTTTTTTTGCGTCGGAGTTTGCTCCTGCGCCCAGGCTAGAATGCAGTGGCCGGACCTCAGCTCTGCGACCAAGTTCGTCCCTGGGTTTACGCCATTCTCCCTGCCTCAGCCTCCCGATAGCTGGGGCTACAGGCGCCCACACACGTCGCTCGGTAGTTTTTTGTATTTTTTAGTAGAAGACCGGGGATTCCAACTGTGTTACGCCAGGATGGTCTCGATCTCCTGACTGGGTGATCACCCGTCTCGGCCTCCCAAAGTGCTGGGATTACAGGTTTGAGCCACCGCGCCCGGCCTCTTTCTTCTCTCTTTGACTGAGTCTCACTCTCTTGCCCAGGCTGGAATGCCATGGCAAGATCTGGGTTCACTGCAACCTCCGCCTCCCAGGTTCCAGCGATTCTCCTGCCTCAGCTTCCCAAGTAGCTGGGATTACAGGCTCATGCCACCACGCCCAGCTAGTTTTTGTATTTTTAGTAGGGATAGGGTTTTACCATGTTGGCCAGGCTAGTCTCGAACTCCTGACCTCAAGTGATCCACCTGCCTTGGCTTCCCAAAGTACTGGGATTACAGGTGTGAGCCACCACATCTGGCCTTTTATTGCATTTTTCTAATAATTCATTCCCACAGTGTTTTGCAATCATATTGGCCTGTGACAGATTAGACATTTTAAAATACGGAACCAGTTATTTGCCACAGTTGTCTGAGAAGTATGGTTCCAGACCAGCAACCTTCCCAGGATGGTTAAGCCAGTGGAACCCCACAGGCAGGAGGTGCCTACTCAGCCGTGCCTCCCTGGGTCTCACCCATCATTACATCAAATCTGTCTCTCCTACTGTTTGGAAGGACATGTGATTGTCTTTTATTCCTGTTTGGAATCCTCACATTTCTCGTTTCTTCCAAATCTGGCAGATTAAATGAATGAAAGCCGATTCCGCTGCCAGCCTGGACAGGAAGGGGAGAGGGCAAGGGAGGGATGGGATGAGAAGAGAGTTTGGAAAAGGCCATGCTGGGAAAAGAATGCTGGGATGGAGTAGGAGCCTATCCTGAGGAGGGTGTACAGAGGCTGCTTTGGCTGGGGCTGAGAGGGGAGGAAGGGTGTAGGAGGGAGGGACAGGGCAGACACCAGCATCTTCACCAAGCCCAGCAGATGACAGCCAGGCCCTTGAAGGTGAAAGGAGGTAGTTTCAGGACAAATGAAAAGGGGATATTGAACCTTTTTACAGAGGGAATGTTGAACGCCAAACTCTCATAACCCCCCTGAGGCTGCCAAGGCCCAAACTATAAATAAGTAGGTCGAGGAATGAGGCAGAAGCCTCCCTCCCCTCACCTGTCAGTCGGCGGAAAGTGGTGGGGTGGAGGTTAAGTCAGTGAAATCAACACAGACAGGATGAAATGAGCTATCTGTAGATGCCACTTCAGAAAGCGAGAAGGTCTGACTCCTGGGCAAAAAAGTCAGGAAGAGCGAGACTTGATTGCAGTCCAATCGATGGCATTAGCATATTTAAAGATCATGTCAAGGGGAGGATAATGGGGCTCAGAGAGGCAAAATTTGATGGTGTTTATTAAGCAGAGAGAAACACAGAAGCTGGAGCCATCTAGTCCCTAGAGAGCGGGCTCCAAGGTGGGGCCAGGGAGGGAGCGAGGCCTTGGCTGGGCCTGGGCAAAGCTGCCAGAGGACCAACCGGCCTCCTCTCCTCTGATTCCACAGCCTACTGCTGCTGGTGAATTTCTGATCAAGAATTCTGCTCCCCACAAAGAATTGCCTAGAGGGTGGGACCAAGCTGCCCCTCACACTTGAGCATCCAGTCCACTCCATCGTGATGATGATGATGATGATAGTATTGGTGACTACAGCTAACCCTCATTAAGCTCTTGCTATGTGCCAGGCTCCGTTCCAAGCGCTTTACAAATATCAACTCCTTCAAACTCCCCAACCACCCTCAGAAGTAGCGTTTCTACCCCGACTTTATAGATGAGAAAATTGAGGTATTGTTAAATAATTATCCAAGTTTATACAGCTTGTAAGTGGAAAAGCCAAGATTCCAACTCAGGCCATCTGACTCCAGAACCTGCAGGACATCAGACTGCACCGCACTTAACTGTTGTTGGGAACAGTTAGTTGTCGATCTGCTTAGCATGTTCATCCCTTCTGGGGTTGACTGGGGCAAGTCAGTGCCCACCTCGGCACAAACAGCTCCGGAGCACTAACCTAATGCGGGTTTTGCGACTCAGGACTGTGTGCTTCACCTAGAAAGTGCCAGGTGTGTGGATAAGCCATGTGAGCAGCTGGCTTCCTGGGCAATGCCCCTCCCCACGTCAATGTCCCAGGCCCCCTTAGGGCCCAGCCCTCCAGGCACTGTGAGCTGGGAATCAGGAGAGGAAGGGACTAGGCTTACCCTCTGTGTGCCTCCATTTTCTCACCAGTAAACTGTGTGTGTTGCATCTTATGATCTCTTAAAATAACTCCAGCTCCAAATGAAGGCCAGTGGACCCATGAACACGCTGGCTCTTGCCCAGTGTGCTGAGAAGTCGGCAGGAGAGAGGAGTAGGGTGGGTACGGCAGGGCACAGGGTGCAGGGCAGGTGGGTTCAGTTTGATTTCAAAGCCGGCTGCCCGCCGCTCCAGGTGCTCTGGTGTAGCCCACAGGGGCTGCATTGGCCAGGCGGCCGAGGCTTTGCTGGCGGAGTGAATTTTTCTCTACCTCCCAGTGACTCCTCTTCTCCTGTTCTCCCTTTTCAGCTCTGGTAGGAGAGAGGAAGAGCGAAGAGGAAGTCAAAAGTTCTGTTCATCTGGAAGGGCTGGGAGTTGCTTCCTGGGATGGGGAGCTCCGGAGCCAATCCAAAAGACGGCCCCGGAGTCTGGCGGGGAGGCCCACCGCTGCCCTGAGGGCTCGGCCGGGAGGGGGCGCTGTGTCCTCCCCACGCCCTGCCCGCGGGCTCCTAGCGGCGTTCGCCGTGCTGCAGCGCAATGCGCGCCCGGCTTTCCCCTGGGCAGCGTTCAGTGCCCGCTTGTCCTGCAGGGCACTGCCGTCTCCCTTTCATCTTGGGGCTCCCAGGTCCAAAGGGTTCCCAGATCCAGCCTCTTGCCTGAACCAAAGTGGCCAGGCACTCAGTTTGTAAGATGAACGAATGAAGGAAGAAACCAAGGAATGAATAAGGGCTCATCCTGCAGAGCGTTCGCGTCTCAGCGCGCACCAGGCACATCAGTGCCAAAGGTGCTGGGGGTCGGACCCAGCGCCCGGCGCGGCTGGAATGGGGGCGGCGAGGAGCTCCTCCTAGCCAGCCGCAGGGCGGGAACTGCCCAAACGCAGGTCGCAGCTTCACCGGGTTCCGCGGCGGCTCCGCTCAGTAGGGACCGCCCTGTTCTCTAGCCCCCAGTAGCCTCGCCCTCATAAATTCACCTGAGCACCCCTGCCCAAGTCCCCCTAGAATCCTTGGACTTCCCAGGCCCCGACCTCGGCCGGGCGGAAGGCTGACCCTCTACCGCGGCCCCCTTCCCCCATCCCCGGCTTCTCCCCGGGCTGCGGCGGCCGCCACCACTGCCAGCGCGCCCCGAGGACTGCCGCAAACGCGGGCGCAAGGAAAGGGGATCCTGGCGGCGGGGCGCAGGGAGCTGGCCGGGGGAAGGGGAGGGAACCGAGGAGGCGAGGAGCGGGGAGGGAGCCGAGGGGCGAGGCGCGGAGGAGGGACCGAAGGGGAGCGGAGGGGAGAGGGAGGGGGAGGAAGGGGAGGGGACGAGCTGGGCGAGGGGGCGGGGAGCCGAGGCAAGGAGCGGCGCGGACCGTGGGGGAGGCGGCGGGGGCGAGGCCGGCAAGAGGCGGCCGCCGGCCAGGCTGAGTCGGGAAACGGCGGCCAGACTTCCCCGGGAAGGGGCGAGCGAGAGCCAGGCCAGGCCGGGCCGCGGGGCCGGGGACCGCCGAGCCGGGCACCTCCGCACCAGGCAGCGACCGAGGAGCCCGGCCGCCCACCCCGTGCCGCCCGAGCCCACAGCCGCCCGCCGGCCCCTCTGGGATGTCCGCGGGACCCGGGCATTCAGGACGGTAGCCGAGCGAGCCCGAGGATGGGACGGCATCCACAGCTCCGGCTCGTTAAGGTAAGAGCCCGCCGGCCAGTCCTCGAGCGCTGGCGTCCCGGGCCCCTGGCGGACGCGGGACGGGGCTGGGCTGTGGGTGCGATGGGGGCGGGGGCGCTGGGAGAGCCGTGCTCAGGTCCAGGAAGGCTGGGCTCCGGGGCAGCCTAACTCTCGGGACCTTTGGAGCCAGGGTTGGGTAGGCAGGGGGAGACTCAGGTGAGACAAGAAATCGTGGCGAAGCCGCCGGAATGTTGGCGGAGGAGGGGGTCCGCCCACCCGGGTAGCCGGCTACGCGCCAAGAATCGCTCTAGGCTTTGGGGAAGACGCCTAGGGGAGGGGAGGTTCCACCTCCCACGCCCCCCTGCAGACCCCGGCCCCGGGACGGGAGGCTCTGAAGCGGGGCTCCCCACCTCACCCCAGAGCCCCCGCACAGCTCCCCGACTCCGCACGCCCCCGCCCTAGTCCTGGGAGCGCGTCCTGCCCTTTCCCCTCCGCGGCAAGCTGCGAGCCCGGGGAGATGAATGCCGCCCGCGCCTGCGAGCCCTTGATCAATATCGCAGTCTCAGGGGAGGAGACGGTACCTCCGGCGGCGGTTCCTGTTCCCCCACCGCGGCCGGGAGCGCGACGCTCGCTCTGCAAGCCTGGGCACCCGCGATCTCCGCGCTGCGCGGCCGACCCTGCGACGCGGATGGGGCGCTGGAGTTTAGGAAAGTCGCCAGACCGCACGTCCAGCGTCTGCCCGCTGAAGTTCGTGGGCGGCGGGGGCGGCCCGCGGGTTGTGTGAGCCCGGGAAGGGCTGGGAGGCCGGCAGTCCGGCCCGCCTCCCGTGCCAGGCGTCACTTGCAGCCCCGAGCGCTTTCCAAAGCGTTTTGGTCTTGTAGAGTACAGGCGCGCCCGCTGCAGTCGGCCGGAGAGGCGGGTGGGCCTCTGCGCGGCTGCCGGGAAACCCCGCGCCGCGCCAGTCTGGGCATCGCCTCACCCGGGGCTCGGGACTCCGCAGGGTCCGCTCCAGCCAAACATAGACACCAGCTTGACCCGGCTCAGGGCATTCAGAGCGATTACATTCGAGAGACTTCGGTGGATTTGGGGGAGGGGTGCAGATTGGCGGAATTTCATTTTTCCATCAGTTATTAAACCAACTGGTTTGAGTTAAGCCACCAAGATTTTTAAATGCAGCAGCTGCTGCTTCCTTAGTTGAGACGTTACAAGTTACTGAGATTTTTCTCTAATCCTGCCCCTCCCCAAATATTTATAAATTGATTCTTAAAATGACCGAGGTTGGTCTCATTGAACCCACATCCCCTCCCTCATCCGTTATCTGAGGGCTAGGGATGAACTCACAGATTATTTTCTGGGCGTTTGAGGTGACAGACAGGTGAGGAAGGTAGAAGAAAAACATCCAGAGAGGTCGAATAGATGGCACTGAATGGTAATATTTTCCAAAAGTCTCGTGTGTACCGAAGCCAGGTCTAAATGCACAAACCAGTTAGACCAAATAGTCAGTCTTTTAAATGGATTCAAAGGATTGAACTGTGGGTGTTTTCTTTCTTTCTTTCTTTCTTTTTTTTCCAGGTTTACACGGAAATAGATCAATGTTCTTTTTCTGGCCTTTCTTAGAATTGTGTGCAAATCTCTGTTTAGAATGATGATGTTTTCCTTTTTAAAAAGTATTTTTATTTCCGTTGCTCCTACTAGATGGTAGGTATTTGCCCTTTATGCCTGGCCTAATAAACTCAGTAGGCATTCAATAAACACCAGATGAATGTGGGGCAGTGAGTGAATGGCCAGCAAATACTGGTTTCAAATGTTGGTTACAATTAAATAGTTGCTTTTCTTCTTTTATTTATGTAGCATGTACAATTCCCTGAGCATTATTCTAATGTTGCTTATTTGCTTTGCAAATATTAAGTCATTTAGTCCTCCTAACAGCCCTAGGAAGTAGGAATTATTCGTGAGACAGGGAGAGGCTAAGTAACTGGTTCAAGGTCACACAACCAGTGAGTAGTCAGAATTCAAACCCAGACACTCTGATAAAAGGCTTTGTTTTGTTTGCTTTTACCAGAAAATATCCTTTTTTTTTTTTTTTTTTTTTTTTTTTTCTTTTTTTTTGAGACAGGGTCGAACTCTGTTGGTCAGGTTGGAGCACAATGGTGTGATCATGGCTCACTGAAGCCTCAACTTCCCTAGGCTCTGGTGATCCTCCCACCCCAGCCTCCAGAATAGCTGGGACCACAGGCATGCACCACTACACCCAGCTAATCTTTGTATTTTTTGTAGAGATGGGGTTTCCCCATATTACCCTGGCTGGTCTCGAACTCCTGAGCTCAAACGATCAGCCAGCCTCAGCCTCCCAAAGTGCTAGGATTACAGGCATGAGCCACTGTGCCTGGCCATTACCAGAAAATATTCTAAGCCACTTAAGTTTCACTGTAGAGCTCAGCCAGATGAGCGCTCAGGTAGTTTTGTCAGCATGAGAGTATGAATCTAGGGGATTTAGGGTTAATCCCAAATCCAGCTCTGTCCCCAACAAGTCAGCTGGGGTTGGGAAAGGGTTCCCTCTGGGGCCTGTATTGTGGGCCTCACACTATACCGCTTATAGAGTCCTGGGGGAAATGCGTGTGAATGGGGAGAGACAGGGTGTGTGAAAGTGTGCGTGTGAGTGGGGAGAGACAATGTGTGTGCAAGTGGCCGTGAGTCAGGAGAAGACAGAGAAGACATTGTCTCTATCCCCAGGGAGGGGCAGGGGCCTGAGCACCTCGGAGTCAACCACACACCCACTGCAGCTCTTTGTAGGGAGATGGAGTGTGGCTCTAAACATGGACCCCCGTGTCTGTGAGGGGTACAGAAGGCAAGGCCTCTCGGTGGGTTCTAACAGGAGAGTGAGCTCCCAGGAGGGAGCTGGTTTTATTGCTATTGTTATTCTTACATAAGCAATTTAGCAGCAATAGGCAAAGTTTGAAAACCAGAATGGAAAATGATTGCAACCTCACTCTCTTAATCCGGCTGCTGTATAATTCATTTAATAAATAACCCCCACAGGTCCCCTTCTCAAGCACCTGTCTGGGCACAGCTGTGGCCGTTGGGCAGCCCTGTCCCCAGTGTCACAGCCCAAGTCTGTTTCACGTTATTCCCGAGCCTCCGCAGGAGACTGTCAATGTCTGCGTGTTGCCTGTGAGTGAATGGACTTTGCCATCCCTATATCGGTGCATATCTGGGCCATTTCCAAGTTGTTTCTTTGATTAAATGATATGGAGCCAGGTTTTCGAGGGGAGCGTTGGCAGGAGGCATGAGGAACGCGAAACAGTGAGCCCAGGGTGGGCCAGTGAGCTGCTGTGGCGTACGGGACTGCTGGCCTGGCCACAGACTGAGGGCCAAAATGGGGAGTGGCGAAAGCCAGGCCAAGCCCCTTAGATTTGAAATGACCAACCATAGAGAGGAATGTGTAGGTTATGGAAAAGTAGAACACTCACCCAGAGCCAGTGAGGACGAGCTCAAGTGGAAAATCCATTTCTCACCCTCTCTAACATTGGCTCCTCAGACAGCATCGGCCTGCAACTGAGTTCAGCCACATATAAGGAGTTTGGGGGTCAAAGGTGCCACCAACCCAAGTGCCCATGTGGCCTAGAAGCAAGCGGTTAGGTGCTGGGCTGATAATTTCAGCAGCCATTGAAGGGGAAAGGCCATCAGGCTGGGAGTCAGTGAACCTGACTCTGGTCCCAGCTCTGCCTCCAATCAGCTGGGTGATGACAGGTTGGTCACTTTCCCTCTCTGAGTCACAGCTTATCTGTCTGTAAACAGGGATTTTGGACTGGATTCTCTGTTACTTCTCATGTCTCTGTGAAAGGTCTGTGTTTTCAAATACTCCTTAGGGACATAACCTCACATAGAAAGAGGCAGGTGCCACCGATTGGATTCCCAGCTCTCCCCCTTCCCAGCTCTGCTCAAGCTGAGGGACCTTGGAACATGGTACTTGGACCTAAGTACTCTCTCTGGGCTTCCTTGTCCCCAGCTATAAAATGGGGGAAATGCCTAACTCAGGAGGTTGAGGTAAGGACAAAAGGAATTAATACATGGAAAGTGCCTGGAACCGTTCCTGGCACAGTCTGCTTTCAGAAAAATCTGCAAGGTGGCTACTCTCAGTGGAAATAAGTTAATGCAGGAACAGCAACTAGCAGCTCTTGGACATGCAATATATTATACATTTTCTGCATCTTTTACCCTTCACGGCACTGGGCCTCATAATCCATTGCACATAGTAGGTGTTTAACAAATGTTTGTCGACTTCATGGATGGTTTTGTTGTTGCTTCTTCTGTTTGGTATTGTACAATTGGAAAGAACTCGTTTCTGTTCCCACAGGATGCAGATGTCATGTCAAAACAGAAGGCTGAGAGATGTTCAAACCACCCTAGCAGAAAAGCCATCTCTGATGCAGAAAGG